GCCCGGGGTTCGGCTGCGGCGTGCACGGGCTGCTCTGCCAGGGCGGCTTTGCTACAGGTCAGGAGCTGGAGTCCGTGAAGATGGTGGATGAAGAGCAGGATGCCGGGTACAACGTTATGGAGCAGGATGGAGAGGAAGAGGAGGATGAGGAAGAGAAGACAACGCAGGAGGAGGAGGAGGAGGCAGAGGAACAGGTGAGGGAGATGGGTGCTGGTGTTGGGAGCAATGGGGGCGACCAGCCCCTATCATCTCCTCCAATCACTGTTTCAAGTGTTTGTGTTTTGCTTCCTTGCCCTCTCTCGTAGGTGCTGGACCCATGTCCCCTGACGGAGGAGAACATGAAGGAGGGCCTCTCTCTGCTGTGTAAAACTGGCAATGGGCTGGCCCATGCCTATGTGAAGTTTGAAGCAAAGGAGAAGTGAGTAAGCAAAGCATGCTTCGGGCAAAGGAGATCAGCTCCTCCTCCCCACAAATCTGCATAGCTGTGGACTCCCTGCTCTGAGCAGCTGGTGATGGCCTCATTGGGCAGGAGCATTTTTTTTTCCAGGGCACCTTCTCTGGCTGCTTCAGTTCCAGTCTGTGCCTCAGGAAAATCTGACCATCCCCAGCTAGGGACCCCCTACACCACAGCCATGCACACTGCTGGGAGCATCTGTGTCTCTTGAGGAGTGAGGAGCGTTTAGTGCGTCCCTTGCTCCAGGCCGTGGTCCCCTGGGGGAACCTGAACAGGGTAACCTTACTGAAGTCAAATCTCTAGGAATATCCATTGAGTGTCTTGCCTGATAACTGCTTAGCTTTAACCTCTGTTATCTATGAGCACCATGCAGCAATGTCCTTCAGCCCCATCAGCACATTCAGATAAACCAAGACCTAACTGGCCTTAGTGAGGCTGTATTTTTTTCCAGCCTCCTAGGTAACTAAACTGGCCTCTTCCTCCTAGGAAAGAGCTTCCATGGAGTGCATGGCATTACCACTACCAGGTAGCAGACCCATTTCCAAAGTCAGTCTCTTTTATGCTCTAATTCTGCTTTTTCATGACAGTTACAGTGCAGTGGGAAGAAGTACTCCCTGTCACAGGAAATCAGGTCCCGTCTTAGCGTTCAGCCTTGTTTACGAAATATTCAGCCTGTTTCTATTGCTTTTCTTTTACATCCTCTCTAGCAATGTTTTCCAGGGCAGAAGAGAAGGGGGAAAGGAAAATGCCCTTCCTCTGGCAGTGGTGAAGAGCAAACTGAAAGCCAGTGGCAGGGGAGGCACGTGAGAAGTGTCCTACCCACCTCCTCTCTGCCATAGGCACTTGACAGACATCAGCATCCTTCAGCGCTACATTCACCTGCGATATGTGAATTTGTCAGAGAACAAGCTGCGAGACTTGTCTCCGCTGAGCAGCCTAACTCACCTGCTTTGGCTGAAGGTGGACGGAAATCTGCTTACAAGTGCCTGCATGCAGGAGCTGCCCTACCTTCAGATCATCAGCTTTGCTCACAACCGTGTCAAGGATATGGAGGGCATTACTCACCCCCGCTTAGCCAACCTCAGCCTTAAAGGTGATATAGACCACCCCTCTTCGTTCTTATATACATAGGAAGCTCTGCTTTGGTGAGATTAACTCTCTTGTGGCTTTTTTCCTCCTCTGGCTCTCAGGAAATAAAATCAAGGCAGCGCTGGGCCTGAGTCAAGGACAGTTATTCAGCCTGCATATCTTGGAACTGCGAGGAAACAAGCTAGAGAGCACAGCAGGGCTAAACCTTCCCAAGCTCAAGACACTATATCTGGTAAGGGATCAGTCAGCTCGAGGAGCGGAGCAGAGATGCAGCACAGCCTGGTGGCTTAAATATGTGGGAGGAGGGGAGATGTTGTCCTTTTCAAAGCATCATAACTTCCATGCTAGCCTGCTCTGTTCAGTCTTCTCAGCCTAAACTGAACTAAAGAGACAAAGTCCCTTCTTTGGGCTGGGTCCTTCTACGTTGTGTGCTAAGATGGTGCAAAAGGAATAGTGATGTTTTGAATAAAGTTTCCCGTATTAATTGAGCCATGGGAAGATGAAGTTGGTGCTGCAAGGACAGTCTTCAAAGTACTCATGCAATAGGAATTCAAAGGTCAGTTTAAAGGAACTAAATCAAATTTGGTTAATATACGACACAGTTGCAGGTGAAAATTAACATTAATACAGCTATACCCACTAGCAGGAGAACTAGGAGCTGTTCGTGGACCATGTGGCATTTCAGACAGTGTGGAGGGCACTACTGTTAGTGAAGCTGCGCTGCTTCCTGTCCTTGGTCCAGTAGTGGTGACAAAAGCAACTAGAGCAAGGCCAGGGATACAAGCAGTGGGCAGGGAGCAAGGTGCAACATACTGTGCTAGCTCTCCAAAAGAGATGCTGCTCTCACACCTAGGTGAAGAACTGCTGTGTAAGGTAATGTGATGATGAAGTCATTTAATTAAAGGAGCTGAATATTGATTTAGAAAAAAAAAAGAAGAAAGTAAAAAAAAAGAAAAAGAAATCCTTTCTGCATTATCCTGTTGTTGCTTTCAGGGCCAGAGCCTTTAAAACTATTTACACTGATGTAATGGAGAATGTGAGAGCAATAGTAGGTTACCGTGCATTTTACAGACTAGTGGTCTGTGAGCTCCCTGCACTAATTCCCTTACAAGCTCCTGATTTCCTCTCAGGTTTAACCTACTAATCCTTCCTGGCTTCCCTGGCTTTTAAATCTCTTCACACTACCTTTTGCTAAATTTCAGCCTTTTTTCTTTTTTCTTTACCTTTTTTTTTTTTTCTCATTATCTTAGCCTCCATTCAGGCATTCCCTTGGCCAGTTTCCCTTAAGTCCTCCTTCCTCTACAAAATATACTTTTCCTAAGAGACCCTGTCCCAAACTTTTTGTCCCAGCTTTTCTTTCTTTTTTTCTTTCCTAAGAGACCCTGTCCCAAACTTTTTGTCCCAGCTTTTGCCTTTTTTATTTGACTTGGCCATCATCCAACTCATGGTCTGGATGTCAGCAAAGAATGGAGAGCACAGCAGAACCTCTCCCTCTTTCCCGTCCTGGTATCTACATGTGTAGAGACTGCAGCCCTGAGCCACAATGGCAGGGCGAGTCCTTCTCCGCGCCAGCTGCTGTATGTAGGAGAGAGCGTGTGAGAGTGTATGATTTCCAGGATTTTCCAAACTTGACCTCAAAAGGCCCTAAGCAGCCCTGCGGTACAGGGATGGGGGGAATGGTTCTACGCTGCTGTGTAGCCCTTCTCCTGCAATGTTACGCGTGTGCCATGCCCCACTTCAGAGAAGGGCAGGTTAGTGGTGATAGTGAGTCGGAAGGGTAGAAAGAGCTTTAAGGACCAAAAATAATTGCTCTCTTCCCTACATCTCTCCCCTTTCCCTTGTCCCTTCTTGCCTCCGTGGTAATCAGGCCCAGAATGCCATTAGGAGCCTTGAAGGCCTTGAGGGCCTAGGACAGCTCACAACTCTGCACCTGCGTGACAACCAGCTTGAAACCCTGGACGGCTTCTGTAGTACCATGAAATGCCTGCAGTACCTCAACTTGCGGTGGGTCCTCCCTACTCTGTGCCAGGACCAGAAATGCCCCCCATCAGTCCATATTCCTATTTGTGTCTTTAGCACTTCCTGGTTTCTTTGCAAGTCGAGGCCTTGATAGGAATTGATTGGCATTTACTGTCCTTAACTTGTGTCCAGGGTTCAGCTATCTAGAGACGTGACAGACAGGACTTTCCCTGGTCTTTCTGGAAGAGATCTACCCCTCCAGCCACTTTCAGACTCCACCTCATAGGTTTTTTTTTTTTTTTTTCCTCATTGCCAAGATACAAAGAGGGATACAAAGGAGAGGGATACACCTTTGTATCCCTCTCCACTTTCTCAGTGTCCTGGCCAGAAACATAAGTATCCTTTTCTTCTAGGCATTTGCCATAATATGGCTAAGCCAGATAATTAAATTGATTCTATAAGCACAGAGAAATCAAGAGGAAATGGGTTTTGTGTTCCTCAGTTGGGGGAGCGCCATACCACAGGTCTATGGTCTAAGGTCTATGCTCTGTCATGCTGCTAAGTTTTGCTTTGTCTTTGTTGTCAGTCTACTGTTCTGAAGGGACCTTGCTTCTTACATTTACTCCTCTCTCCCTACGCACTCTGCTCCCCCCTCTTCAGGAGCAATGCGATCAGTAACCTTCAGGAGGTGGCAAAACTACAGGTGCTCCCCATGCTGCGGGCACTGGTGCTGTTGGACAATCCGTGCTCCGATGAGGCTGACTACCGGGTGGAGGTCCTGGTCATGCTGCCCCACTTGGAGCGCCTTGACAAAGACTTCTTTGAGGAAGATGAGCGGGCAGAGGCGAACAAAATCCGTCAGCAAAGGC